TATTAAACACATCATTTTTTACCTAGAATGAAATTAATTCTTAATCATTACATAGTCCCAAGGGACCAAATATATAATAAAAAGTAAATATTTATTAAAATCTGAGTGCTAAAAAGGCAGGACAATGGGAAAGAGAGAGAAGGGATAAAGTGAAATGGAGGAGGGAAAAGGAACACTCTTGAAGGACCATATATTTGAGGTACACTCAATAAGATAATGAGGCTAAACATTCCTACCCTGACAAAACCATCTCGGGCCATTCCCTTATCTCCATTCTGCCAGGTGGCATTTCACTCATCAAACCCTAGACCGCCTCTGACTTTCAACAGATTTGGACTAGTAGATGATAACAAGGTTTAGCAATGAATACTTCACATGTCTGCATTAAGATGCTAAAGCCCTGGACACTGCCAACAGATACCATTGGCTTTAGCCCCTACAGTGGAGCAAAGCCCCAATGGCCCCATCAACTCAGAAGTACTACTCTCAGAATGATCCTCTCCCTCCCCAAGGTCCACATCCAAAACAATACACTTAGAGTAAATGAGAAAATTTTGAATTCAGGGTATTGGGGTGAGGAGAGACAGAGAGACAGGGGGGAGGAAAGAGGAGGAGAGGCAGAGATCATTTATTTAAACCCTCATATTTTTATACCATCACACACTTATTTCCCCTTAAAAGGCCAAACTTTAGGCAAGGCATTCATTCAATGAGTGTGCACCCAGAGGCTGAAGACCCTTTGGCAGGAACTTAGAGGTAGGAATTTATGACTGCGGGATTGGGCTGGATGACCTGATAGGTCCCATCCAAGAAACGCAAACTCCGCACATCACAGACCTTCTTTCTCTCTTGGGTGATTTGGCAAAATCAGACTACAAGGTGGAAAAACCGATTTTGCTCCCTACGTCACTTCAAAACTTTGCCGAGATGCAGATGTTTAGAAATGAGACTGTGACCAGCAAACATTTAGGGAGTAACTTGAAGTTGCTAACACCTACTAGTCCAGGAACTCTTCCCCTTGGGGCAAAAGCAACCAAAATCGAGGCTGAGCACAGCTCAGTGGTTACCACAGGTCCACCAGACCAATTTCACTTCAAATTTACACAGCTCCCTGAGCTCTGAGAAAGCCTCACCTTTTTCTTTCTAATCTACAATAAGTACATACCAGGGAGGCTAACAATATAGATTTTTAAAATATTTTGCTATCAGAATCTAAGATAAGCTACCTAAAGCTTATCACTTAGGCAATGGCAGTAGACGCTGCCCTCCTCCCTCCTCCACAAGAGGGTCTGGTATTGGGTCAGCCCTCTCCACAAAAGTAGACTGCCTCCACCAAATGCTGCTTTGAGCCTCTTGGTTGCTTGGAAAGCCTGGTCTTTGGGAGACTACTAATTTTTTCTCTCCTTGAGGCACATGATCAAGCAGTTTATAAATGTCAGGGTGTTTGGCTTGGGGCATGGAATGGCCTTCCTCCCACCATCTTACAAGAACTCGTATACTTGCTTACTAGGCTTTTTCCACTGCCATAACTTTCCATTCTCTCTCCAAAGGGAATCCAGGTTATCCCGGAGGTGGTTAAAAAAAAAAAAAAATCAAGGTCGTAGGACACTGAAGTTCAGACCACATATTTAGACGTCTTTTTTTTTAAGGACTCAATATTTCACCTCCCCTTTACTTTCTGAACTCCTCATTTTTTCTGAGTTTTTAAGAGCTCAATACTCTATGCACCACCATGAAAGATGCTCTCCTGCTTTCTCTGAACAGATGAGGGGCCTGCGTTTGGCTCTGATCCAGTGAAATTAAACCGATTCCTCACAATACAATGTGGTCAGTCATCAGTAAGTACTCTGGCAATATAAAACACACTGGTCATGTCAAATTTTCAATTGCCTTCACTATCATTTATTAAAAACTCAACTTCAAAAACTGCACTCCTTGTGATTTATTAAAAAACAAAACCAAAAGATACTGTGGGGTAACAAGTACACCTTCCTACTCATCACCTAACTAAACAAATCAAGGTCAGGATCCAATCGGGACAGGTGATCCAAATACTTAAAACATAACAGCAGTGATTACATTCCCTGATCGACTCTCTTGCACGCTGTTTTAAAAAACATATTTGCTCCTCCGACACCTGAATGGGTTCATAAATTCATAGTTAAGAATTACTTCAAAGCGTTAGACCACACAAAGTCCCCATTACTTTACCATTCTTGTGTTCAAGCACAACTGAAGCCTTGCTAGAGACATTTATGCTTCGTCTCTGCTCTTCCTGTAAAGGATTCAGATTCAGCCTCTGGTGCCAAAACAACGGAACTGCTTTGCAGTTCCATCAGCAAATTAATCGACTGCTCTGCCAGCTGGCAAATCCAAAGTACCATCAATGTCAGATTATCCACCAGAGGATATCTGCTCTGTGGATTATACCACCTCAACTCCACAGCTGGGCTGAGCCTGAAGGATACCAGAGCCAGAAAAGAGGGGGAGTGTCTGAACGTACATCCAAATAGAAGTGATCTTAAAAGTGGCCATTATTTTGCTTGTTCAGTCCCCTGCTTCTGCCAGTGGCATAACTAATCATGTCTTAACTATTTCTGCTTCTCTAGTTCTTTACATCACAGATCTGAAGATACAAAATATAGCAGTTAGACTTTTACAAATCCATAGACTCTCATTCCTTTCGTGGCCTGGATGCCTACCAGATATTTTGCCTTGGAAAGCCCTAACTCTCTCGAAGCACTTATTGGCATTCTTTTGTAAATCCTTTCCGTGTGTCGGGAAACCTTCTTTCTTATAACCAGAATCGACTGGTCTCGGCTCATACTAATTTTTAAATCACACATTATCCAGTCTTTTGCGATTGAGGTATGTGGCCATTTGAGACTACTGACAGACCCCCCTATATCAGCTTTGTTGGTTTAAGTATGTCCAACTGCTGAATTGGCAATGGCAGAAAGAACATTTTCCTTTGCCTCAAGACAAGAAACTCTGAGTGTTAAGGTGCTGAGCTAGCAGTCTAGCAGAGAGCTCTACCACAATTAGCCAAACTTGGAGCCAAACCGTCGGACTGGACATATAATGGATACCATACACTACAGCTACTTCTAGCATATGAGTTACAAGGATTCCTGAGAAGCTGAGGTTAATGAATGAGATTTATCAGGAGTGAGGTATCAAAGGGATATTATTCTCTGGAGGGCCAATCGGTGCTTAGTATCTAGAAAGTATACCTTGGCACAGTGTTATCTGATTTCTTGAATTTATTCTCTGAAGTAGCACCTGAACACTGGCTCATCTGTCTCAAATCAAAAACAGAGCCTAGAAGAAACACAAAGGCAAACTTAGACACTCTCCATATCACTGCTGTACTATGAAATGCGACCAATCCTTTCACCATCATCAAATACCAGAAATACTAACATTTCCTGTTTTGCAAACTTTAGTTGGACGGCTGATAAGAAAAGACAGGTAGTGAACCAGAAGTACACACATAAGAACTTTGATTTGCGCACAACAGACGCGGTGGTCAGGCAAATAGCCTCATCTCGTGTGAGGGAATCAGTGGTACAGAAGGGACAAAAGACGTGAAGTTACTGAGTCGTGACTATAATATAATATAACCTAGGGAGGTTTTTGTCTTTTTCATTAAAATGCTAGAGCGATATACTTAAAAGGAGAAACTCTGGTGACTGCCTTGATATTTTAAAGATAAAAATCAAAATAAGCCTTGGCTCCCCAGTTCTAGGCAATAAAAGAATTTCAGATTTTGGAAAGATAAGAAACTAGGGGTAAAAAAATCCTAGAATCAGAGATAGACAACTTTTAAAATGAGGTACGCTGAGGTGCTTGGAGTGGGAGGAGAGGCTGTGCCGAGTGACTGCTGATTCTAGGCTAGAAGCATGGTGGGAAGCGCTGGGAACAGACTTGTAAAATGGGAAAGGCTCAACTCCCACCCCTAGCATCTGAGTCTCACTGCTGTGGGCGTCAGCATGGAAATGGAGCTACTGGGCTACAGAGCAAAGCAAATGGTTGTGCGTCACCTCTGGTCCATGGGCTGTAAGATTTTAGAGGCTGGGTTTACAATTTAACTAGCCCTGGGAGTTATTTTTTTGTAACAGGAATGATTAACCGGGCACACTACTCAATCCCAGAGACAGGACTCAGGACTGAGGCGTGGGAAAGGGAGAATGGAGGGGGAACAACAGCACGTGGGTAAAACTGTAGAAAATGAAACAGTAGTCAGAATGATGATGGTGGCTCTGTAACTCCACCAGGTGTCCCTAGAGTGTGATATTTTCTACTGCAGTAAAGTTGGTAGGAAACTGAGACAGGCACCTTTTCAATTGTATACAAACACCTTTGGTGTCACCAGGCCTTGTCCACACCCCTGGGTCTCAGGATGGTTCTGCATTTTCTTTAGAATTCTAAGGAGCCTCAAGAGAGTCACAGCTGCCTATCCTGTTCCAATGCCTTGAATATACCTGAAAGTACCCCAAGCCTAAATTCACGATCACGGGGACAACACTGGCCTGTTACATATATGTACTTAACACTGGGAGGAGGCATGAGTGCCCAGTCATTTTAGTACTGGTGGCTGTTATGAAGGAATGCATGAGAACGCGGATACAGCTCGGGATCTTCCCTGGTTTATCAGTATGCAGTCTAGACTTGGTTCCCTTTACTATTCTTACATATTCCAGAAGCCAAAAGCACCATCACTCATGGAGGTGGCATCTGGGTAAGAGTTGGGACCTCACAAAAATGTGAAAGTCCTGGTCATTGACTCTCCTTACAACTTTACTAATCATTCATTTCAAGGAAGATGGAGAAATCATTCCTTGCTACTAACAAATTCATGGCAAAGTCCTTGTCTACTAGCTAACAAAGGCCATCTGGAAAATTACCCTTTTTGCAGACAAGGAGAAAATTCTATAACTTATCTTTTGTGCACTTCAAAAGAGTACCAGGAACAAGCAAGCTATAAAAGTCAACCTCTCTACATTCATTTAGAGGAGATTAACCAAAGCAGCATTGTCTTATAATCAGATATTAAAATTAACATACACATACACACACATAAACTAATAATGCTAAATATTGTAACAAGAACAAGATAACATTTGAACTGAATTCACAGTCTGGAAAATACCATTACTATTTTCCTTCTGGCTTTCCTTTCTGTGGTTGGAAAAGCAAACTCCCTGGTTTACACTTCATCTTCCACCAATGACAGAGTCCAAAAAAGTGACTTTTTCATGAGCTTCCTGCAGGACGGTTGGAATTTTTCTTGCATAGTTTTCAGTGATTGCATATTGGCTAATACTTATGTTTTAAATTTTAAAAAATCTTTAGAAAAAGAAAGAAAAAGAATTAAACCATAGCAATCTTGTTTACTCTTTCATGAAATCTTCCTAATGCAATATCACAGAAGCCTAACTGAATTGTCTCCTAAAGAGAAGACTAATTTCCAGAGATTATGTAGTGCAACTGGTTAACTTGTAGGAAAGAGACAACACACAAATATAACTTCACCATCCAAATGAGGGAAATGTTTTTTGGGTACCCAGTTAATAAAATATATCCATGGTCTGCAATGTTCTTCCTGTTTTATATCCAGTACAACCCTGTGATTCTAGTTGAAGAGAATGGAATCAGGATCTTGGTTCGCCATCTGTGCTATATGCTTTAGCACATCCTTTTTGGTAATGATTCCAAGCAATCGCCTAAAAGACAAAACAAGACAAAAATTAATCTGTAGTTAAAATAACATTCTCAAAGGTGACACTTTTTGTGGCCCTTTTCATCTTTGTCTTTGAATAATATCTGTACTTACAGAACGATGACAGGACTAGATTACATGTAAATGGGACAATGCATGGGTCCCTAAGCATGCTCTAAGTACTTCTTCCTCTAGGTCTTAAATCCTGCTATTTCCTGTGGTTTAAATATTCTTCTCTCTATATACAAATCTTACCTTTTGCAACCCAGTTCAAATGTCCCTCTTCCAGAACACCTTCCCCGATCCTACGAGCCAGTAATTACTGTGCCTTCCTCCTGGGAACAGCATGTTCTGTGCACCCCTCTTCCATAGCATTTGTCCAGTTTGCTGTGTTCTCAGCTTCCCTATAAACACTGTATGCCCCTTGAGGGCAGAGAAGGGTCTCACTGCTTTTTGCCTCTCCCCAGAATCTAGTGGAATGCCTTCTTACATGAAGTACAGATTCAGTAAAGGTTAAATGGATCAGTTAGGAAAAGTCCCCTTACTGATCTCAATCCTGCAAGACATCTGCTACGCTATTCAGAAATTGTAGAGGGCGAAATTCTTATATAATCACTAGATTAACATACCAGGGTCAAGAACAACAAGAAGAAAAACAAAAACACCCACCCTTCTCCTCAACCTCCTTTCTTTTCCAATAAAAATAGCATGGCTTCCTTTACTGGATAATAAATATCCCAGAAAGAAAGAGCCTCAGCCTTGGAAGTCAGAAGACTTGTGTTTAGGGAGTTCCCTGGTGGCCTAGTGGTTAGGATTCCAGGCTTCCATTGCGTGTCCTGGGTTCAATCCCTGGTCCGGGAACTGAGATCCCGCAAACTGCGTGGCGAGACCAAAATACATAAATAAATAAAGCCTACCACTACTAGACAGTAACTGGGGGTCCTTGTGCCAATCTTTAAACCTCACTGGAACTTGGTTTTCTCACCCTCAAATAATAACAACAAAGGTATCAATAAGGACCAAATACTATACATATACTACCTAATACCATTATAATTTCAGTGCTGCCTGTTCATGAGAACATAGTTGTTTCCTTTGTGGGGGAGGAACTGAGTTATTTATAATGTGCAACCAGCAGTTCACATCTCTCAAACCCACTATCTTCCCCAAACTCCTTTTCTATTAATTATGACAAAAAAAAAGAAACACATTCATCTTCATCTCAGAGCTTCAAAAAGGTCTATAAATGTTACAAATATTCATGTGAGTTGGGTTCTTCTTTCTTTATCTCTCTACATTCTCTTTTCCTCCCAAATCCAATTTGCCTTCACCAAAGAGCTCTCACCCATTGTGTGTAACCAGGCACTGCCGCAGTCCCAGCTTGCGGAAGATATCTACCACGATCTCCATGGGTGTAAGGTCAGTCACAGTGAAGGGGCTGAGATCCAGGATGTTCCGAAGCTTGAGGGTAGGTGGGGTGTATGGTGGCACTGGAGGAGAATGCTCAGTGAAATAAATGACAGAAGTGCTCACAACTCCATCCTGTTTTTTTCGAGCATTTTCTATTTCAAAAGTAGAAAACAAAAGGTTGAAAAAGGAAGGACTACTTTTAAACTTCTGGCCCCTAACCAGTCCCCTCTCCACTCTGTCCTTCCCCTTTTCACGCATGCATGCATGCTTAGTGATTGACTGATTGTATAGTTGATTTACAATGTTGTGTTAGTTTCAGGTGTACAGCAAAGTGATTCAGTTTTATATATATGTATATATACATATAATTATATATATATATCAATATATATAAACATTCTTTTTCAGATTCTTTCCCATTACAGGTTATTACAAGATACTGAATATACTTCCCTGTGCCATACAGTAGGTCCTTGTTGCTTATCTATTTTATATATAGTAGTGTGTACCCGTGAATCCCAAACTCCTAATTTATCCCTCCCTTCCCCTCATGCATATTTATTTATTTCCATAGTGGATTCCCTTATCCCATTTCTGAAATCCTTACCAATTGAAATAATGAGGTCTCTTCGGAGGACAAAACCCACAAGTCTTTGGGACTCCCGGGACACCACAACTGGGAAGCCACTGTAAGTAGTTTCACTGATTATGGTCTCTACGTCTTCCACGGTCATACTGTCCTGAGTAAGGACAGTCAACAAAGGATCGTTTCTCCGGGGTTTCATCACATCCATTGCCAGGGTCTTGTGAGCAAACTCTTCTTTGGCTTCAAGAAAGGGGTATCCATTGAGACGGATGTGGGCATCATAGATGCCCTCCCGCCCAAGAGCATCTGCCACCCACTTGCTTGTCATGGCTGCGGCCATCAGAGGCACAATGTATTCCAAGCCACCAGTTAGTTCAAACATTATGACAACAAGAGAAACAGTCATCCGAGTCACCCCGCCTGCAAAAAACAGACACAGGCTACTTACTGAAGGGAGCAAAAGTATAGGATTCATTACAGTTATGGGCCTGTCACAGGCCCCATCCAGAAAAAGCTACTTACCAGAAACATCACTAAAAGGAGGCCTCACCTATAGACTCCTGCAACTGCATTCAAGCAAGTTTACAATGAACATGAGTCAGACTTCTCAAAATAATCTCTACAAAAGTACAAGATACCTCCTTCATTATTCTTCTTTTTTTCATTTGTCTGTTGCTCCCCACCCCCCAATTATACAAGTAATTGCATAAGATCTCTATGATTTGTGTAACACTACAGATACGAGAGGTTCTCTGGGATGTGCAGGCCCACTGTGGAAAGATCAGAAAATACATATATTTTTAAAGTATATAAAAGAAAGCCATTATCCATAAGCTCACTGTCTAGAAATATGCTGAGTAAAAATTTCAAATGACTTTTTTCAAAAACGTATGTTTTTATACAGATGAACTCGTATTATACGTTTAAATTCCCCACCATGCTTTTTATCCTAACTTTATATTAGGAATACTTTGTATATTAGTACAAATGTATTTAACATTGTATTTAAAGATATTAAACCTATTAGCATCACATTCAGTGGCTGTATGGTATGGCATTATATGGATGTACTATACCATAATTTATTTAACCAGGCCCTTATTGTGCTTTTAGGTTGATCCCAGTTATTTGCTATTACACATAATACCATGATGCACATTCTTGTGCAGATCATCTTTGCCCAAATTTCTGATTATTTCCTCAACATGACGGAATTTGAGAGAAGAATTACTCTCAAAGGGGAGGAATGGAGATATATGGTAAAGAATGCTTTCTTAAAGCACTTGAAAATGGCAAGCCCAACAAGAAACGGATAGTCATCTTTAAAAAAAATCTACAGTCAATTGTGTTTAATATCACTTGTCTTTATAATGCCACCTGGGTTCTTTGAAATCAATGCAAACAGTACTCACCCAAGCAGGCTGCAGCCCCAACCATCGCATAAAGGCCAGGGGTGATACAATCCGCTCCTTGACTGCACCAGCTATTGAAGATGGCCCAGTCATGGTGGTAATAAGCCAGCTGTTCCATCCCTACTCCCAAAAGCCGACCCGCTATAGCACCAACAGCCATGCTAGGGATAAAGAGGCCGGAAGGGATCTGCAAAGAGAAAGCAAAAGATGGTCAGTGAGAAGTGACGTGATAAGGGCTAGAGGACTGACCCTCTGCGAAGCGAACAGGCCAATGACAATTTAACTATGCACTATGCTAGCAAGTGGCCGCAAAGATTTGTGTAACGCTACAGGGACTAGAGGTTCTCTGGAACGTGCAGGCAAGGACGACTGCAAAGACGCTTACCCTGATTCGGAGTCCATCAGGCAAGAGCCTGAACTCTCCAGACCAACACAGAACTGGAGGCAGAAATTAAGCCTTTCCCAAAGAAAAAGGAAAATAGATGGAGTTTCTCATATATGCAGACATTTTGCCCAATTTTGAATTCTAATCAACAACAATTACCCTTTATTGACTATCTACAATCTTCAATGCTGGATGCTCTATGGACCAGATTTCATGGGTTCTTTACAACCACCCCAGGAGGCAGGTGTTATAATTCCCAACTCGCAAAGGACCTAAGGTGCAGAGAGGTTAAGGAACTCACCCAAGGCCAAGATTTAGTAAACGCTGGTGCTGTGGTTTAAATGCAATGCTTGTAACCACTCTCATGTATTGAATTTTGACCCATTGCTCACACAAAAAGGATGGCACATGAGGTTTCAGTTTATTTTAACAGTATAAAGAAAGAATAAATGATTAAGTTTTCCTAATGAGACAGTGACTATGGTTGCATGACTGTCCCAAAAAGGAACCCCCATCTGTCTCCCCACTCTTTTTTTTTTAACACCTTTACTGGAGTATAATTGCTTTACAATGGTGTGTTAGTTTCTGCTTTATAACAAAGTGAATCAGTTATACATATACATATGTCCCCATATCTCTTCCCTCTTACGTCTCCCTCCCTCCCACCCTCCCTATCCCACTCCTCTAGGTGGTCACAAAGCACCGAGCTGATCTCCCTGTGCTATGTGGCTGCTTCCCACTAGCTATCTATTTTACGTTTGGTAGTGTATATATGTCCATGCCACTGGAAGCAACCTAAGTGTCCATCATCGGATGAATGGATAAAGAAGATGTGGCACATATATACAATGGAATATTACTCAGCCATAAAAAGAAAGGAAATTGAGTTATTTGTAGTGAGGTGGATGGACCTAGAGTCTGTCATACAGAGTAAGTAAGTCAGAAAGAGAAAAACAAATACCATATCTTAACACATATATATGGAATCTAAGAGAAAAAAAAAAAAAGGTCATGAAGAACCTAGGGGTAAGACGGGAATAAAGACACAGACCTACTAGAGAATGGACTTGAGGATATGGGGAGGGGGAAGGGTAAGCTGTCCCCACTCTTTTTTTGACTCCTAGGATATAATAGTGCATTCTCAATTTTCTGTGCTAAGAGAGGGAAAATGATGGCAGAGGTAATCCAAACAGCAGATTATTTTAAAATAGCTTGTATTCAATTCTGGAATATATTTGAATCAGGGTGGGTCTGATGTCTGAAAATTCACTTTAGATGAAAGAATGAAGCCACGAGGTAAAAAGTAACTCAAGAAGCACTGCAAATCTGTCCAGGGTGTTGAGGAGGATGCATATCAATTCAGAGATTACAGTACTGCCTAAACCGACTTGCTGGCTCTTATTTTCTGGTTTGAATCTCCATTTCCCTAGAGAAGAGGAAATACCTTGATAACTGAGTGCTAAAGAAAAGAAACAAACAAATGAAAACCAAGGAAGAGAAGGAAAATACTTTACAAATTTTCCTTCCTGGTTTCTTCTGACACATGGAAATGATAATGGGTACTGAAAATAAAAGATGCTGGCCTAATATGAGCTGTTGATAATCTAAATACTAATTTAGGATCATCTGTGAAGTTCTTGATAATTGGACACTGATAACTGTAAAAAATACATTTAGCTACCTGTTGGGTTGAGCCATATGAAATTGCTATTTTAGTGGTCAAAATGGTCGGCAACTTCTTTTGGTTCAACCTACTATTTTGCTTTATTCGTAACTCTAAAGCCACTTTATAAGGACCAAAAATGTGTTGGTCAGATATTGTTTTGATATAAAATGCACTGGAATAAATACCTCAGCATCCTTTTTGAGAGGCAAAAAATGTTTTCCACAGAAAAGAAGAAAATGTTTCTACTTGAAATCTCATCACTGAGGTTTGCATTTGGCCTAAAACTGGGCTTGCACAATTTTAGATAGAGGTACAATCATCTAAGAAGTTATGAGAACACGTGGGGGTAAAAAGGGATTTGGGTCTTTGAAGTTGGATGCACCACATGAACTATGAGAATCGTACAATATCTTGGCTTTGCCCTCCAAACTTACAGCCACACAAATATCCACCAAGGACCAAAAGAATCTCCTCACCTTCATGCCAAAAGTGAATATAGTGATGACAATTTTCAGTATGAGTGTCAAGGCCAGCTGCCACATTGCACTGTAGACTCCCACACCAGCTGGTCTGTCGGGCAGCTCACCCGCCTTGCTTGTGTTGAAACGGTTCTCATAATCACAGAGCTTAGAGGAGTCCAGAAGGCCACAGTCATTGAACAGCTCAGAAATGAGCTCACTTGTGCTCATACGGGTGTACTCATTGGGGAAAGCCAGGATGGCAGTGATGGCCGTCATGACGAGTACCTCTATGACAGGATACTTGCCCAACTGGGTGGTCTTACGCTTCCGACACCAGGCAATATTGGTGCGGATAAACAAAGCTCCCCACAGACCACCAAATATGCCCAACAGAATGAAGGGCACGAGCTCAAAGAGATGCCATGGGGTGTGAAACTCCACATAAAATAGAACCAGGCGGCTGTTCCCAAACGGATTGATGGAGCGTAGAGTGAATGCTGCCACTAAAGCAGCAAAAAACGAACGCCACAGTGTTTTGAGGGGAAAGTAGTAGCTGACCTATAAGAGAGAAAATGAGGAAGTAAACTCAGTCAACATGCATAAACTGGGGTAAAAACTGGTGCTGCAGAAATTAGAGTTGAGGATGAAAATGGCCTGGAGATCTCCGGCCCCGTGGCAAAGCACTGGAGTTGGGCAGAGCACTTTGAGACTGCAATGTACACAGACAATGGCCAGAATTCCTGGCACAAAATCATGTGTGTGGCTCTACAGACAGATAAAAGTATTACCTCTTCTAGGCTGAATAATACTCCGCCAATAGGTGCCCCAAAGGCTACAGATACACCGGCTGCAGCTGCAGCTGACAAGACCTATGATGCAAAACCCAAAATTAGTGAATAGATCAAGGCCACTTTCCTACCTTCAATCACATTTTAAAAAGGAATGTTATTGGTTACTAAATAAAAAAACAATCTTATATGCTCCATATCCAGTTTATCAAAAATGAAGTTCAATGTATATTTACTTTGAGAGCAAACACTGTATGCTGAATTTTGAACACATGGTTCACATGCTGGTACATGTAAAGGGCCTTCCTTCGTAATTAATTTAGGCATGTACTTGATCCCAAATTATGCCCCCATCCCCAACACTCCCAATTCCGTAACTGATTTTGAGTCTGCAGACCTATTTATCACCTAAATGAAATACTTCCAGTGATGTATTTACATAGCACTTTCTTTATAAAGGAAAGCTTTTAAAATGAGATTTTAAAGGCTCTAATGATACAAAACTGAAGCAATGATTGGCTCACAGCTAGTCAGAAGTTGAAAATATTCAGACAATAAGTATTTAGAGTTTCCTGTACTATGTGCCCTACTCCATGCCTAGTGACCTATGGAAACAGAAGTAGGGGGGCGGCTAGCGGCAAAATTGGGGATAGATTTTGAAAGGAAGAGAAGACCTAAATGTGTTTAGGTGTGGCAAGGAAAAGGGTGAGGAGGGAGGGGAAGAGGAAGAAGCTGTGAGAGAGAAATTAAAAGGGACAAGGAGATGGGGAAAGAGAGCAAGTGATATTTCGAGAGCACCATCTTTGTATGTCATAGGCATTGGCGTGTGTATGTAAAAGGTGCATGACAAACACACCAGAATTAATAGAAGGATAAAGTCCTTTCATTGGATTCTGGTTGCTGTGGGGTGGTATATAATTTGTGGTAGTGAGGAACTATTTTTAAAAGGAAGTTGAATAAAATTAAGAGTTTTTGAAGAAAAAAATGGTTCTTGGCAAAAATAAATAGGCAGGTTTCTCTGGGAGTGCAGGATGGCCAAAGAAAATGAAGGGGGTGGGGGGGAAGAGTGATCTCTGGTGCTAGCTGGGGAGGACTTTGAAATTCAAGGCTAGAATGACTTTCATCTGAGAAGGATGAGGACATTTAACATGGAACTTGAGAAAGGGGATTTCAGTGACTTTGTTTAGGATGAATTATGAGGGAGAAGAAAGAATGGAAGTGGCCTATTTGCCTTAATATTATGTTGTAGAGTAGGGTCTATCTACACCCTACCTTCTCAAATCTCTATTTTACTCTCAACCATCTGGCCACTTTGACAAGGCCCTGGGACATAAAAGGGTTACTGCTGATGGTGAGAACAACAGGAAAAAATAACTGCAAAGTTTGAATAAGCAATAGGAAGTGAATGACATATTCAAATATTCATGAGTTTAGTTAGAAATATATATGACATCTGTACAGAGAAACAGCCAAATCAAACTCCTCTCTTATTTTATAAAGAACTATTTGAACAAAAATGCCAATTTTTATGGAATGAAAGTAACCAGCAATCTACAGTTTCAAAGTTACCTCTACCTATGCAAAACCAGCAACCAATCAACACTTTACTCTTGACAGTTAAAATGTTTTTTTTCATGTCTTTAGCTTCTGTTATACATTATTCCTGTCTAATAACCTCACTCATTTAATACTGCCTTTATGTCCCTCTACATTTGACAGATAGCTAAACAACCTACTCGGATTTCCCCCTCTCTCTCCTGCTAGCCTACCTCTCCTGCCAGGAACTTTCCCCCTTGAACTATCAAAATGTATTCCATATTTGAAATTTCAACATGTTTGAGTTTCCTTCCGAGTGTTACGGTGAATTTTGTTTTGTTTTGTTTTCAGAACAAATCATTAGGTTCCAATTTTGTGAAAAATCCTTTCTAATGAAATGACCTTGGTCTTGACCCATTCCATATGTGATTTCTTTGTAATTCAAGGAAAATAGAGCAAGAACCATTTTCTTAAATCCTTAATTATAGCAGGACAAAAGTAACCAATGACTTGGAGCTTTTAAAAAAATGTTCTTCCTCCTCAAAATGACATACATTAACAACTGTATAAACACGAGAACAACTACAGAGATGCTGCAGCGGGGTTAATTTAGCGGGGTTGAGCCAGAAGACAGGGAGAGAGAGATCCAATACAGAGAGAAGCCAATGCAGCGTCCTGTTAGGTAGAAATAAAAGATGGAAAAGCTGGCATCTTAAATACATGCTGAATTTTATATTCTTTCACAGGGATAAACAACTTTCTTTTAAAATAATCTTCCATTAGTTTTGTACTTATTTTGTAATAGAAATAGCACATGCTTGTAGAATTATACATAATAAAAAGTTGACGTCCTTACTTCTCCCTCACTTTCCCCCTCACCAGAGGTAGACATTTTTTTAACAGTTTGGGGTGAAACCACTTTCCAGTCATTTTCTTTCTAGGTGCATATATACATACTTTTCAAAAACATTAACTGATTTTTACTATACACATTATTCTGAGATTGGTTTCTAAAAGTTTAATGGTATTTTATAGCTGCCATTCCATGTGAGTATACATAGCATTATCTCATTCTTTTTAACAGTTGCATAGTATTATAGAGTATGGACAGAATATTGTTTATTTAATCAGTCCCCCATTGATGGACATTTTGATTGCTTCAGTTTTTCACGATGTTGACAGATGCTTCACTGTCTATCCCTATACACCTTTGTGCACACATGGTAGGATGTCTGTAGGATACATTTCTAGAAGTGGAACTTCTGGGTCAAAGGGCATTTGCATTAACACTGGTAGAATCTCCCAACTCTCATCCCTAAGGTTGTACCATTTATGCTCTCACCAAAAAAGAGACTATTAAGGCCGTTTGTTATTACCTCTCTGCGTTTGGCTTCATTCTTCCTGTATTTGTTGAAGCAGTGGCACAGGATGTTCCCACAGCAGCAAGCCACGTGCACTAGGGGGCCCTCTTTGCCCAAGCTCAGGCCAGATGACACTGCCAGCACCAGTGTTATGGTTTTGATAATCAGGGTCCACTTACCCAAATAGCCCCTAATAATGAAACCACTCAAGATAGTTTTTATCTGCAGGTCAAACACAGAGAGATTGAATACAGATTAAGTAAGGAAACAAGGCTAAGAAGCTATAAATCTGGTCCTCGTTACAGAAACTGCATCTTTTGAAAACAACTGATATATAAATGCTTGACCCACAGTGATCCCAGTTTGGGAGGGAGCCCAGCAGCCCAAGAAAGTGAGAAATGTTCTTTAAACTTTCATGTTCCTTTTTTTCTTTTTGGCCATGTGATAGCTGGGCAAGGTAGTATTGTAAGTATGAGAGTGCACTGTATGGAGAAGGGGCGGCAGAGAGTGAGGGTGTTTCCCATACTTAATCCTTACAGGCTAGTATAGCCTTGACTCTCTACCAAGGAATCTGTAACTATGACTTGGTCAGGAAACAGAGAGGGGGCAAGGTCATCCAGGTAACCTAAAATCTCTGTGGTTTCAGTCACTGTCAAGCAATCTAAACCAAAAGTACTTAGAAATAGGGTTTTAGTCACCCTCCTTCTAGCCCAAATCACATTGCAGGAAATGTAGCAAAACAGTTTTATTTCTCCTGCTCTAACAAAGTTGACAATACCACTATTTTTTCAGACCAGAAGCTTGGGATTTACCCTAGGAGCTTCTTGGTTAGGGAGTCGGGGAGGTCTTCAGGGGCCTGGTTCACCAGGAACCCGGAGGAGGCTAGGAATCAACTCCCTTTATTTATTTATTTTTAAAATATTTATTTATTTATTTATGGCTGTGTAGGGTCTTTGTTGCTGTGCTCAGGCTTTCTCTAGTTGTGGCGAGCAGGGGCTACTCTTTGTTGTGGTGCACAGGCTTCTCATTGTAGTGGCTTCTCTTGTTGCAGAGCATGGGCTCTAGGCGCGCGGGTTTCAGTAGTTGTGGCTCTCAGGCTCTAGAGCGTAGGCTCAGTAGTTGTGGCACACGGGCTTTGTTGCTCCATGGCATGTGGGATATTCCCGGACCAGGGATCAAACCCGTGTCCCCTGCATTGACAGGCGGATTCTTAACCACTGGCCCACCAGGAAGTCCCTCAACTCCCTTTAATGTCCAGGTAGCCCAGCCTGGGAGGAGACTTAAGGGAAGACCTAGAGAGGCCCTAGATTGCCTCGTGATCTGATCCTGCTTGATATTCAACTGTGGTATATGCTGGAATACATATTAAACTAAACATTTTAACTAAAAAGGATTCATTATTGTTACCATTTATAAACCATTTTAGAGACTCACCTCAGGGATTCCGGAGCCACAGGCGTACGGTGCGAACACCTTGACAAGAGATACGGCAAGGAAGGCAAATAGGAGAGCCCAGAGGACATACGTGAAGTAATTGACTATGTAAGCAAAGGCTCCCTGGAACAGGGGAAAAAGAAAGACGCTTGTTTTAGCCCAGACAGCCTCAGTGAGGCGTGCAGCTCTTCTGAGGAATGGGTTTTCAGGAGAGGAGGTCAGAAAGAAAAAAAAAAAACAATATTAAATTGCTCAAGATGTTCCTTCCCAGACTGTCAGCAAAGCAACTGTCAGCTCACTTGCTACTGAAAATGAGAGGCTTTGTCACACCCAGAGGACACTGACAATGCCTTCTAAGGACGGACAAGAACGAAGAAGCAAATTCACTTTCTATATGAGTGCTTTGATAGATTTTGTAGTCAAATATATATGATACTATGTCAATTTCATTAAGAGTCTTAACAGCCCTTTTATTGGAATGGCTGAACCCTGACTACACATTTGAAGTGAAGACTGGCTCCAGAGTTCCATTAAATTCATCCTTGCCTACTACCTACCTTGGTGTCACATTCTCATAGGTTAGAGTATCTAAAATTCTTTGGTGTTTTTCTTAAAATAAGCAATGACATTCTGTAGAGACCACCACATCTTTGAGAGAATTTTGCCACTGTCGTAACAAAGGTGTAGTTGCTGAGTGGCAACAAGAAAATGCAGTAGAAAGTTTTGGGCTCTGACCATCAAACAAAATCAGTGAGATGCCAGATATCCCAAAGAATAAAACAGCAACAGCTATTTTTAAAAATGGAGAGAATATACTTATGAGACTATCCCCCTATTATAATGAAATCTTCCAGAAATCTAATTTTGACCACTAGCAAGCATTCACCAACATTAAAGGGCTCGCAAAATAGCTATGCCTTACAAAAAAAGATATTTTGAACACTACCAGATGACGCTTGCTCATAGAAACATTTGAAGTTGAAACTCACTCAAATTACATGAAACACAAAACTCAAGGGACTTTCGACTTTTTAAAACCTAAAACACTATCAAAATAATTCATTGACCTAGACAAGGAGAACCAAAACGCTCAGGTTTTTTCTGAGTTATAATTTTGACACAGGTTTTCAATCATTTTAGTCCCTCAGAGGAACAAATAATTGCTCTCTTGGCCTTTAGAATGTAGCTAGGGAGGAAGAATACTCTAGAAGTAGGAGACAAAGAGGAAAAGGGAGGGAAAAGGGAAGTAGCTGAAACTGACTAGAGGCAGAGACCAGGAGGTCAAGTTCTTGGCAGAAGAACTCTTCTTAAAACCTAGAAGACTCTTTCC